GATGAAAAGTATTGTGGTTTTTTCCCTTGGTTTACTTCCAAAAAAGAAAAACGTTATATAAATATATTATTAAGCTATGTGAGATGTGACACTGCAGATGGAAAGACGTAAAGCATGATAACACAGTCACCTGGCTAGCTTTCTGTAATTTTGCTATCAACCCAAAAGAGTTCTGTTTTTTGGCAGCTGGCAGTGCCTTGAAAGGTCAGAGTGACAAGGGGAAGTATGAGAAAAGCCAAAATCTTATGGTAGGCAGCTTTCATTGTCTTTGAAGCTTGTGCTTACGCTATTACTGTTTCTCTTTTTTAGAAACAGATTTTTTTTTTCTAACTGCAGAACCACATAGACAGTATAAAAGCAACTTACACCAAGAGTTTTACATCTAAGGATGTTACAAATAAGCAAATTGCTGTCGCTACTTATCTCATTGATAAACTGCGGTTAGGGCTGGAAATGAGAAGGTACAATTTGATTTAAGCTTCGGTTCGGTTAGGGAGCAGGATCTGTACCTACAAATAGCTAATATAAGCAGGATCATGAAGATGGCGTTGCCTCTTAGCGGAAAGATCGGTAAAGATGCTAAAGATACAGTCCAGGAATTCGTCTCTGAGTTCATTAGCTTCATCACCAGCAAACATGTTGGTTCTTCTCTTGAATTGCTTCTGAAACACATAATTTTTTTCTTTGGAATTTAGATTATTAGGTTAATTGGTAGCTTAGAAAGGCTTACCTTTTTATCTGATTTTGGAGTTTTGAATTTCTGATCAATTCAGGGCCAGTGACAAGTGCCCGAAAGAGAAAAGGAAAACTGTGAATGGTGAGGACTTGTTGTGGGCAATGTCAACGTTAGGTTTCGAAGATTACTTGGAACCCCTAAAGCTATACCTTGCGAGGTACAGGGAGGTAAGTTACATTTACTCTTAACCCCCTTATTTATTACAGAGCCTATTATAGTTCCAGACATTAGTAAGTTACTCGCCGATGGAGATACTAGCAACATTTTTCTATATGTTTTGTTATTGACAATCTGCTGCCAACAGATAAAGTTTCTGAAGCATAACGTCAAGGCAGTCTCTTTGCAATGGTGTGATGCCTTCAAGCAAAAGCAAAAAGCCAGTCAGCAGAACATTTATTTTGAGAAAGCAGGTTTAATTTTTATGTATTTTGATTTTACTAGAACAAAAAGATTGAGAGATGAAAACATTTGACTTTGGTTTAGATACTGAGACAATAGATAAAACTTTTGTAAAACTAACACTTGGTTCAGCCTTTTAGTGATTGGTCAAATACAGGCAACAGAGGAGGTGATGGGTTTTTATCAGAGGAAGAGATAAGAGCTAGAAGTAATAAAATGCTTGAGAACGACGATATGCAGCAGCTGCTGAGTTTTTTTTTCTTCCTAAAATTGTGATTGAGAAAAGATAGTCAACAACCTAAAATTTTAAATTATTATTTGTTTAAAAATACTTGAAAGTAAATAATGTAAACTAGAGTTTGAATGTAAACAAAGAGAGCTTGGGGGTTGATTTTTTTTGTGTTTGTATTGGAAAAAACAGGTGGTTGTTCTTAGAGTGTCTTCACTGTCCATGTAAAGGCTATAAAGTAAAGTGAAGAAACATCTATCTAGAATGAAGGTCAATCTCTTCTTATCAATAACTCTTTTTTTTCTTTTTTTTTCAAACTTGACGTCCACACAGCATATATATGTCATTGTGAATGATTTTAAGGTAGTTTCTAATTATATTTGGCAAACCCGTAGGTGTGACATCATTCAAAATTAATTTTTCTTCAAAGGTGTGTGGCTCAAGACATCACTCCTTTACAAATAGTGGATTGCCTTTCAAAGGTCAAAAATACTCAGCTCGTCTCTGAGCGGCACCACCTCCATCATCATTTTAAGGGTTAATCCAGAAAACCAAAAATCACAATTTTTGAGTATTTGTATTCACTTTATCTGATTTGTTATGAATCAAATCAGTGGTAAAAGTTGAGAGTTTCTTACTCTATTTTCAAATGTTAATGTGAAAGATTCAAACCTTTCATTTCGTTAATTTCATTTCTTTAACTTTATGCTATGCAATTAAGGTGTTGGCCATTTGATCCACAGTAAATGTTTGTCACACTTTAGCTTTTGGCGATTAGTCAATCCTTTAATGTTTTCCATATTGATTATGATTGGTTTCTAAAGCATAGTTCATCATCTTCTTAAAATACAAATCTTCAAAAATCAATTACCACAACAAAAGAAAAAATCACAAACACGGCTTACATACATTCATTTAGATAGAGTAATGGTATTCAATCCAGATGTTGATTCAGTATTTTTGGTTTTGGTTTTTTGGTAGATAGAGTAACTACCATATTAATATCATATCTACTTTGGTTTGGTTCAGTTTATATACTAACGGTTTTCAGTTTATTCGGTTTTATATCACAAAACCATAACTATATTTAAATTTTATGACAATTTTAGTTTATATGATTAGAAATCAGACTTATTAAAACATAATATATATTCTGTACTCTGAATTTAAAATATAATATATTATTTTCATTTTAATATTAAAATATAAATAAGAAAAGTATTAATATCATAATAGTATTAAATAACTATATTTTAGCATAAATATGTACCAATGAAAATATGTTAAATTTAATTTGATGAAACTGATAATTTTTAACTTAGAAAAAAAATAATTAGTAAAATCAGTGTTTTCATGTATATTTTATAAATTTTGTATAAAGTATAGTAGGATACTAACATATTTTATTTAATTGATTTCTTCAGTTTCTTCGGTTTAATCAATTTTATACCAAACAATATCTAGATACTACGATTTCTTAAATTAACATCCAATTGGTTTATTCAGTTTTATTCAGAAAAGAATCATATATTGATTCATCATAGGCCATTTAAACTTATCAATCAAATGAAGGTACAACCACATAAATAATAACTTACCCAGACTTCCTACCCAACTATGCCATGTATGTATCTTTATTATATAAATAAAGATGTCTGGGTATCTACTTGATTTTAAGATAATTGACTTAATATATACCAATTTCCTGCTATTTCTTTCATATAGTTTACATCGCAACTACCTCTCTTCTCTTCTTCGAAATAGATAATTTCTTTTTTATATTATTTATGATCATTTAAAATATTTTTTTTAATAATTGCAAACACTTAATAATCATCCAATTTCCCATATTTTTAAAAAAATACATTGTTCTCAAAACATTAAAAATTATGATCATAAACTGAAATATTTATTCACATATCCGCACGTAGCACAGAGAAAGATCCTAGTATTGTTAGTAATAGGATAGTTCTTTGGTAGAAGAGCTAATATCACTATATTTTATTCATTACAAATATAACCAATATTGTCGACTTTTAACATGCAAAAAATCAGTTCACATGTAATAATATAGATAGATTCTACAGTCTACAATTCTGGAACCAAAGGAGCTTCCACAACATTTTTTAAAAGTCTTAAATGGTCTATAACAGTTGTCACTGAAAAAAAGTTCTCACTGATTCGATTGTATGAACAGATGAAAACAAGGCTAATAAAAGAAGACCAAGCTCTTCAGTTTTATAATTTTCCAAGTCACTTACCAATCATAATACACTTACGTTCCGCAATATTTCTTACCAAATCAGCCAATCATGTACTAGAGTTTTTTGACTTTGGTTCCACGAAAACAAAATCTCTATTTTTACCTGATGGCGCTATCCAAAAAAAAAAAGCAATTGAAAAGGCTCACTACTTCATGTCAGATTCCACCATAGTCGCAGGAACTACTGTGTCAGTAGTGTCCAGTTTGGCCTTCTTCCTTGGTTGTTCGGCTTCTTCAGGGTCGGCACTCTCATAGTTTCCCTCAGACTCTGACTCAGCCTTTTCTTTCTTTTCATCCACATTTGAGTCTTCAACTTCTTCAGAGTCTGCCTTGTCCTCTTCCTTATTCTTCAGTTTCTCTATCACCTCCATTACTTCTCTGTTGACCTGTTTACACAATTAGGTCATAATGGTCAATAGCGTATGACAAGATTTCCTATCCAACCAGATTACAAATGAATAATCTGGTATGACGATCTTGCTACCACTACTAGTCCAAATATTTTAATTAAGCATATCATGATAGATGTTATATAAGCATTTGACGTTACTGGCACATTCTGTAGTTATAACATATAGTTTAATCACTGAACTAACTTCATCTAGTTCTAGCATAGATAAATGCAATTTGCACTTGTATTCATGCAAGTGTATGAAAGAAGTGAGATACGTAAGAAAACCAATGCAAGAACATGATGTTCACCTGAGGGTTCTGGAGGAAGTCAGAGATGTCAGTGGGGCAACATGGGCAGTTCATGACGTTCTTCTGTGCACGAAGTGTCCGCCCACCTCTGCTTCTTTCTCTCACCAGAGTTTTCCCAGCAAACTTATCTTCTAAGCAAGCCTTGCAAAAATTGTGAGCACAAGGCGTTGTCACAGGAAGACTCATTACTTGCCGGCAGATCTTGCAGCTAAATTCTGCATCAACAAAAAACAGAGCAAGAGTTTAGATGTGAACACAAAGCACAACAGAAATTGATGAAAGTGTCCAGAAAATTATTAACAGCAGATGTAGACAGTTGGACACTCGAACCTTTCAGAAGTTTTTCTCTCACGGTATTTGAATGTGCCGCCTTTATGGCTCTCTTCATACTCTTCCTCTCCTCAGGATCTAAAACATTAACAGCCTTTAAACTAGCAGGTGGAGGCTTCATCCATTTCCAACAACCATCACCTTCCTGTTTAGTTATAAGCTTATCAGTAGGTAACAAAATTTGTAATCTGATCACAAGCTCAACTGTTATAAGTGGGATTCAAGGCGTCTTGGAACTAAGTTATGAGAAGAACAAAGAGAGGCGCATGCAACTTACATCAAAATTCCATGATGGACTTTCCTCTCTCTCAAAGAGCTCTGTCGCCATCTTAAGCTCTGGAATGTTAGGCAAAGGTCTTGGACGATCCCCATGCTCATCACTGCATGCATTATTTCAAAGAATTAAATCTCAAATTAAAAATACAAAGAAGGCGCTTTCTAGAAGTAGATTAAACCTGGTCCATGGAGCAGGCTCATTGTCACACCTAACAAATAGATAACGACAGACCTTAAAAGAACCCTGTGAAACAGAAAAATAGGTCAGGAAAATAATTCACCTCTGCATAAAAAAACAGGTGAGGTTTGATTGTCAGATACAAACTACAAACATACTTGTATTCCAACTTTTCTCCAGCACTTCTCAATCCGGTAAATCCCATCATATCTCACTCCTGCCTCAGGGGCATATGCAGAACGCTTCTCCTTGTGAGACCTAGTTAATTTATGACGAAGTTAATTAGAGAATTAGTATCACATAATGGTCAGATTTTACTGATGAAGATAGATAAATTAAGAAAATGAATTATAAGGTGAATCCAAGAAACAGCCAGTAGACTCGGAAGATAACTGCATCGAATTTTGCCGAACTCTCAAGAAAGCAATTTTAATGCAAAGAAAACCTTTTGACATCAAATTCCTGGTTAAATTATTAGTATAGGAAAATAAAAGAAAAAACTAAGAATGTGAAAAGATGGTTGAGCGAAATTGACTTTCACTAACCTGACAACACGAACAGGATAACCCATTTTGCAACTAACTCTTAAAGCTTCGTTGGACTTGTCAAATTTCTGATCAAACGATTGATCTTTGTTAGTCCTTTTGTTGCCGCTAAGGTCTCTTCCTCCACTGTGTGTCACATCCACACATATTCAAGACAAAAATAGAGAATAAGAGTATCGGTAAATTGGAGAATGTGACTGCTGCCATACACATGAGAAGCAACATATACAAGATTATCAAGAAACAAATCCTAGACAAGTAAGCTACTGATGAGATGGAAAGCAAATGGATAAAAAAAGAGCAGTTAAAAACCAACCTTCCAGTGTACAAAAACCATTCTCCATGATCCTCATCGTCCTTGTAACCTCCAGAGAGTGCCACAGATTGAGCTCCATAATTGGATTGTCCAGCAATGCCAGCAACGTGTGGGAAATGAGCTCCCCACTGCCTACATTCCAACCTATCCTCCCAGCACTCTCCAACTAAGACACCCTGATTTCTAACAGGATCGTTTTCAGCCGGAATAGGACCAAAGTGATCGGGTGGTATTGTGACATATATCCTGCCACTGGCAGCATTTGCCTTTCCAGTCTTTTTGGCGCGCTCAGTTGTGAATGCTTTCTCTGGTCGGTCTTGGTTACTTATAAAATGAAAAACTTTCCCAGTACCCGCAGTAGCACTCTTAGAAATCTTGGCCAGACGAATGGCAGAAACGAGGGAAGAGTTAATCCTGGGATTGCTTGCCATTTTGTTAGGAATTGGGCTACGGCATTTTGCGCAAGTTCGCTTCCCTTGACCGATCCACTTCTCAAAACACTTCAAACAAAAGTTGTGCCCGCATGGTGTCTGAAAAAATACTCATACAAGCAAAAAGCAAACCGTTATGATTTATCTTATACAACTATAAAGAAAAAAGTTACTAATGAAAAGCCTAGCCACGCCTAGTAGGTAAAGTTCACTATGTCAAAATACTCAACAAACGCAAAAGCTTTATGATTTATCTTTTACAAAATAAGAAATTTCTGAAAATGGAATATCCATAAGCTGCAACCAGAAACCAACAATAGAATAGATCAACCATCAATAATGGTAGACAATACACAATCCTTTGCAGAAGTTAAATTGCCTAACAATTTTCAACAAACACACTTGATTAGCCACTTTAGACCTCCCTACTATGTAAATCAACCAAAGAAAGGGTAACACAAACGAGAACATTAGCATTAACAACATAATGGATGAAACGGCAAATCTGTTATCTATAAACATAGGTAAACACAGTTTGTCATAAACGGTAAGCACAATAAAGTCTATGGTACTATGCCTTTAAATGAAAAAAAAATGAAAAAAGAAACCATAATCTACAAGCTAAAACCAAATATAGAAGAGATCAATCATCAACTAACCCATACACATAAACAGGTAAAAAGGAACCAAAACCCAAAAATAGAAAAGATCAATCATCAATAGAAGTATACTCTCATTTCACAGAGACTAAAGATGCCTAATAGTTATCAATCACCACAATAAATTAGCCATCCAACAAACCTCAACATAAACAGTATAAGCGAACAACATAGTGGGCGAAACGGCATATCCGATACCAATAAACGTAGGTAACACTCAAATATTCAGCACAGTTTGTCACATTAAGTATGCACAACCAAATCCATGCCTTAGTATAACAACAAAAGGAACGATTCTACTGCTGGAGTTGTGGTTTCAAACTCGAATTAGTGAACCACCAACCAGACAAACAAACAAACACTAGATAAGTAAACGACTAAGCGAATCCAAGAATACACACTAGATCTATAACAAGCATATAAGGCAAGTAATAATCTATTAATATGCAGAATTTATGCGAAGGAAAGAGATGGGGAGAAAACGAACCGTGACGGGCCTTTCAGGCAACTGAATGCAGAAGGAACAGTTCAAGTTTTCTCCGAGCGCGGCCAAAAGATCAACATCGAGCCCTGCATTCTTTTTCCCATCTTCTTCTTCTTCATCCCCTTCGGCGGCGGCTTTACCGCTCAGTAGCGCTTGCCTCTTCTTAGCCTTATCGGCGTCGGTCAAAGACTCGTTGGCTTCGATCGCGCGAATAGCTGCTACTAGGTCTGAGCCACCGCCGGCTTCGTACCCCGCGACGCTGGAAACGGGGAGAGGATCGATTTCGCCGGAGCAGTCAGGGCAATGCCACTGTAGAGTGGAAGCTAGGGTTTCGGGAGGGGAAGAAAGGCATGACGCGTGCCAAGGCGTTCCACACGTGCCGCACGTGAGAGTTTCTTCTTGACGAGGCTTTGCCTTGCATCGTAGACAAACCCCATCGCCGTCGCAAGGAAGCTGTGCCATTTCGGTGAACAGACGAAGAAGGGAGAGAGAAAGGTGTTTTCCGAGATTCAAGGTTAGAGAGATAGAGAGAGGATTGGAGGTCATTTAAAGAGGGAGGCGAAAAATGCAGGGGGGATTTAAAATAATTTGAAATTCAAACAAACGCCAATTAAAATAAATATATCAATTGTTATAAAATAACTTATAATTTTATGGTATCTTGAAATTTAAATTAGGTCAAAATTTTATACCCACAGAAAAGAAATAATAGTTATTCTTTATAGTCCTCTAGTTTCTTTTTATAAGGTGTTTTGGCTGATTGCACAGAGATTAAGATATTTACGTTCTTTTAAAAAATATTTTTAATGATATACTGTTAAAATCATTCAACCAATTATAAAAATGACTAAAAGGTTTTATTGGCTGAACAGTTTCCAATAAAGTTAAAGTTAACATTAAAACTTCAAAATATAACTTAAAATCTCAAAACTTACCTTATATTTTGAAACAACATAAACCTTCTAAAACATCTTATAAAAAGAAATGGATGGAGTATATTAGAAAAAAAACATTGTAACTAATGCAATCGCATTATAACGGATACGTGTCAGCTTCACAATGATTTGATAATAAATATGCTAACGTGTTCACACTATATTCATAAATGTATTCATACTATGTACTTTACGTTTATAACATATACGTGTTGGAAACTTATATGATTATATACCAAAGTTAATCTAATGAATAAAATATTGAAATAGTAAAATCCAGTACATAATTCATATATTATAAAACAAATTGAAAATATGTAGAATTACAAGGAACAAGTATAATATAAAATGTGTAAATTATATCTATAATTACTTTGAAGATGATAAAATAGTACGGGAGTTAATTATTTCATACATACCAACTGATAATATAAACAACATAAAGCAAAACAAATAAGTGAAAAAAGCATATTACAATTTTATTATTATTCAGAAACCTAGAATTGGAATAGATTTACGTTTTTAAAGTTCAGCTCTATTGTTATTTATGAATTAATATTTCATAAATAAAGTGAGTTAAATTGGGTTATAAATCAATTAAAATTTGCAAACCCACAAAAAATATGTTTCATCTTTTTGCACATCAATAATACAACCACCATCAAGCTTTCGATCAACGACAATCACGCTTCCACATATGAACCGTGCATTTCCGCCTCGCTTCCAAACAGCACAATTCTAGAAACATGATTTGTGACAATTTCATGCGATTCTGAATGTTTCCGGTTCGGATTCCATTACGAAAATAAGAAATGAACCTCCATCTGTGTAACATAGGATTAAACATACCATAATATCTTTTCATCCTAAAAAATAACAAAATTAATAATCTCATTCCGCTCAAGACGCGAGTTAATACCTATAATACAATAAAGAAAGACTTTTAAGGATAACTCTAATGAAGGCGGTCTTATCAGCAATACCAGTTCATTCTATGAGCACGAACTGCCTGCCTGCAAGTACACTTGACAAGCTCAATAGCCTATCAAGGAATTTTTTGTGGGGAAGTGGCCAACATCTGGTCACCTGGGATAAAATATGCATACCAAAAGCTGATGGGGGCCTTGGGATAAGAGTCTCCAGGCATATTAATATAGAGTTAATTGCTAAAGTAGGTTGGCGCTTGTGGCATGATAAGGAGAGCCTATGGGCTAGAGTATTGCACAGCAAGTATGTAGTAGGTGATATTCATCACCCAACTTGGATGGTAGTGGGGAACAAAGTCTCGTCTACTTGGAGTAGTGTAGTGTTGGGAATTAGGAAAGTGGTGGCTGATGGGCATAGCTGGGCTATTGGGAAGGGGAGGAGAATCAAATTTTGGACAGACAGGTGGTTGTCGGGACATATACTTACGATGGAGACAATTGAAAATCTACTAGAGGGGTACAAAAATATAACTGTGAGAGATCTAGGGGTCGGCGGTGGGGGCTGGGACTTATCAAGAATTATTCCTTTTGTTACTGAAGAGATAAGGCTCGAGCTTGCGGCGGCGGTGGTGGATACTGTTACTGGAGCGCATGACCGGTTGAGCTGGGGAGATAACGAAAATTTCTCAGTTAAGTCTACATACAATTTGATCTCACGCGATGAAACTCCAAGATTACAGATAGAGAGTTTATTTTGAAGATTGTGGAGTGTGGTGGCGCCAGAGATTAAGAACCTTTCTTTGGCTTGTGGGAAATCAAGCAATAATGACAAACGCAGAGAGGTTTAGACGACACCTAAGCAGAACTGATGTTTGTCAGGTATGTAAAGAACGGATTGAAACAATTTTTCACATACTCAGAGACTGCCCTGTTATGTCAGGAATATGGGATCGATTTGTCCCAGCTGCGAAAAGACATGCTTTCTTTTCAATGTCTCTATTTGAGTGGCTTTATGGAAACTTAAATGATAAGCATGCCAGGAGTGGAGCTCCTTGGGCTACGGCTGTAAAGGTCTCATTGGAAACAGGTCATACAAACGTTAACTTTAAAACGAACTACAAAAGGCTTGATCCCTTCAAGAGGGTACGTAAGCAGCCTTCACTAGGCGCAGCCCCAATCTTACTGCTTTCCATATTCCACCTAACTTGCCTAAAATTGTCTAATCACTTGCTAAAACCTCGCGCTAGAAACTCAAGGTTCTAACGAGCTGGGGGGGCTACTGTTGGGGTTAAAATTACTCACGACGGAATCAATGGCTAAAATTCCCGAAAAACGTACAAGAAACTATAGACTTTCTACGGAGATACGAAGTTACGGAAAACTCGTATCGAGTATGAAATAATCAAAAATACCTCCTTGTTGTTGCGGTCAAAAACGGTAACCTCGAAAACAACGTCTACGATTACTTCTCCTTATATTCTCCGAAATGATCTCGGGTCGAGAAAAGATCAAAACCGAACAACCGTACAGCTCGTCAACAGGCGAGCTGGACGTGCTTGACCAGCTCACCAATAAGCAAGCTGGCCCTGCTTGACTAGCTCGCATGTTGGCGAGCTGAACAGCCCTGTCCAGCTCGCCAACAGGCGAGCTGGCCCTGCTTGACCAGCTCGCCTGTTGGCGAGCTGAACTGACCCGTCCAGCTTGCCAACAGGCGAGCTGAACCAAACCATCAATGCTCCTCGAATCGATCGTACTCTGAACCCTGATCTAAACATCTCTCGTTTCGTCTCGATCCGTCTTACCGTTGGAGTTTTACGATAAAAACCGTAAAAGTCATGTTTTCTCGTAAAACCTCGAGTATATCGTATAAAACGGCAATGTTTAAACAAAACAATAGACATTGCCAAACTATACGATTAACTCAAGATATTTTATAAAAAACCGCTAAAGACTTGTCTTCTCGTAAACCCTCGAGTCAATCGTATAAATGGAAACAGTTAAACGAAACACCGGACATTACCAAACTATACGATTAACTCGAGATATTTTATAAAAATGGCATCGTATCATGGGACGATCTCGTCTAAAGTCGTAAAACGGCTAAATCGCAAAATGGCTCGGAAAGTCCCAAAATACGATAAAGACCCACTCACAACTTTAGACAAGATCCAGCCCAAAGATATAATGATGGTTTACCCATTATTCGCAGGAATGGATAAATTTCAAGTTTGAAGACAAAATAGAAGTTTTCCGAAGAAAAATTAAAAGATTAAGATAAATGGAAGATTTCCGATAAGCGCGAATCGGGACAGAAAAGAAAAGACCAACCGCCTAGAGAAGGATTATATAAACATAAGGTCGAAATCAAGAGGAAGAAGCACTTTTAAAACCTTTCTAGACTTAGAACTCTCTGCACTTAGGAACTTAGGATTTATTCTCGACAAGTTTGGTTTCTATAACTGGCGCTCAATTACTAGACGAACTCGCCTAGGCAGTTTGATCTCTTGTCCAGATCTATCAGTTGAACTACGTTCGGCTTGATCCTCGAAAGGGGTACATAGGCAGCCTTTCATAACGTTCAGTTCGAAATCAATCAAAACCTTTTTTCTTATTTTTTTTTGTCTTTTGTTATCGAGTTGCGACTCAACTAGGTTTAGGGTTTTTATATTGCCAAAACTAGTTAACTCGATGACGGCCCCTGCGGCCAAAACCTTTATAATCTCTTGTAATGATCGCGACGCTCTTACGCGAATTCGAAATAAGCTCTACTTTCTTTATAAATTCGTTTTATCATGTTTTTCATATATTTCTTCATTTATTTGGTTACTTGTCGTTGGCTCTCGTAGAGATCCGCGTCCTATAGAAAATTAGGATTTTCCTAAGTTTTCTTATTTTACGGAAATCAACAGTGCGAATTTCGTTTCCACACGGTGTATGCTCTTAGATTTTCTGCTCTATTCACATTTCTGAAAAAAAATTGTATTAGTTAACTAGGGCCGGGCTGGCGCTACACGCCGGAATCGTATGTGTTATTCAAAAATAAATAAATAAATATTTTTTGGGATTGATAGAGCTATTATTCTGAAAATTTTGATTAGAGTGTAGTCTCATCAAATAACAGTAGAGTTGAAAGTCCTTTGTCGTAGGAAAGTTAGATGAAGTTGTAATCTTTACTTCCACTAATAGTTTTAGTTTTATTTTCCTTTTTTTCCTTGTTTTTTTATAGTTTCTCCCATTGCAATTTTTTTTTATTGAGGAACTCCGCTTATATAAACTTGTGTTTGTATATTTTGTATTTATTCATTGAATGGTAGGAAATAAATATTTATTAAAATGATGAATAACATAGTAAAGCCACTAAAGTAACATGTATAATAAATTGAGATTTAAACATAAGAAATAGATTTTGTAATCCCTTATTTTTTTATTCTCTATTGATTGCAAAATTAATAAATTGACTCAGTCGTTTGAAGTAAGTCGTTTGAAGTAGTAACGGCGCTTGTATACTTTAGCTATGTTATTGGGATCACACATTGTTCGTCGCTTCATGTGAACCATATTTGTATAATACCGCTTTTTCATTGGAACCGGGATTGCATTCAGAAACTTTGTTATTCTTGCCCAGCAATGGTTGGATGTTGCTATGTTATTTTTCCATTGTAGTTTATCCAAATACTTTTTCCCTTTTGCAAAGTGACCTCCACCTAGCTTTAATAAACCATAAAGATACGTGCAAATAAAGCTTAATGTAGTAGTGTTTAGAGGGCATATCTTGATTTCAGGCTTAGATGTTGATGTTTGTATGAATTGTCTGATTATTTTGTGTTATTGATGCATACTTGTTTTATTTTTATTTTTTTGTTTTAGTGTGCGCAAGCGCAGAGTCGGTGTGACGTAATTGTAATTCTGTATAAATATTTGAAGGTGTATTTAAAATGATGTCATGTTTTGCTATTATCTTTGATTTTTTAGTATTTGTATTTATATAGGTTTGAGGTTGGCTATTGAAGTGTGGTTATCTTAAGTGTTTCTTGTTGTGTATGATTTTGGTTGTTGTAGCAGAGTAGTTTATTTTGTAGTGTGTTATCGATGTTGTTTTATTTGAAGCTAATGCTCATTATCCCAAAATTGAGAGTTTTTTTTTTGTCAATTTGTAAGAATCCATTAGTTGTGTGTTTAAAACAAACATTTGAAATCATACAATATCTTATTGACAAAGATAAAGAACAAAGCAATATTGCAGTCACTGCTACATTTTTTAATCTAAAAGCTAAAAAATTATTGGTAAACAAAGTAATTAGAATTTTTTTTTCTATTACAGAAAGCCTGTAATCACTATAAAAGAAAGAAGAAAACTAAAGAAATTTATTTAAAAATAAGCAAAATTACTATATGTTCACCAATTTTAGCTTCCAGTTTCCACCTTATTAGTGACTTTCACTTTGTCCACGCATTCTTCGTGAGCGTTCTCCCATGCCGCAACATGTTTATTTCCTCAAACCAAAAAAAAACTGTAGGCAAAAAGTATAAAGAATTTGGCGTACTTGTCCAACAAGAAACTGTATCACCACGCATAAGAGAACTCATATATCATTGAGAAGAAGACATGCATTGTTTTAGGGGAAGAGAAAACTCATTAATTCGTGGTTGGTGATAATGGGTCAGTCATAATTGTCACCAGCTTTCACAAATCTTTCTTTCACTCTTTTTCTCGTGTCAGCTCTCGCTTTGCGAGATGCATAGAAAATTCGTTGCCAAAGACCACATAAAATAAAACTCTGCTTTGTAACGCTTTTTAATAAGAAAAAAAAACTCACATGCGCTTGAATTTCTTCTCTTTCTATCTTAACTTAGCTTCATTCCTTGCTTGTGGAGAACCAACTTAAAGATTAGAATCCCACTGGTACAAACCCTGTAGACATACTACAATCCTGGAAATCGGCTGCAGTGTTTTTCATGACCTGTGATGTTCGGATGGATCTGTCCAAAAAAAAATAGGGGACATAGGAAGAGGAAGTCCAATGTTGATTTTCATATGCAACGGACCTGACTGATGGTAGCTTGTGAAATCATGCTGCTTTGGTGACGTTACTTGAAAAAGATTATGCCAAGTTTATTGTAATTATTATATTCAGATTGGCACAAAAGAAAGAAAAAAAGCAAAAGTGACCTTTAAAAGGTTGTCTGTAGTAAAGTTTGAGTTGGTAACATATATGCTGTTCTTGTAAACCAATAGACAATTTGGTAGTGTTTGATCAAATTTTATGTGTTCTGGTGGACAGCCGATGATATCATCTCCAACATCAAAGTTTAATGAATCTAACGGTGCATTTGTCCTTCACATAGATCTTCTTGTCTTTCTTCAAGGATCAAAATCAGGACATCCCTGACAAACACACACAAATGATAATGATATAGTTCATAAAAAAAATTAAGAAACGTGTTTGGTTAGGTCCTCAATTTATTAGTAATACCTAAGAATCTTCAGAAAAGAGAGATGATTGATCACTGAGATTCTGAATGTAATTGATGTTTTGTGATATCATTGAATAAGAGGAACCAATCAAATAATCTAACTTGCTGATTTTTGACATCTCGAACATTATCAACCAAGGACAAAGAACCAATGGACGGATTAACTAAACTGGAAACAGAAGTTTCAAGAATTGAAAACCACATTCTGAAAAAAAATCTGTTGGAGAAGGACAGCCGGAGAATGTTTTCGCTTTAAAGAATTTGTAGAACTAAAACTTAATTAGAATCAAGGGATTAGAAAATGGTGACTTTGTTGCTAAAGTCCTTCAGATTCTATGTGTTCTTGAAGCTTTGGCAGCTAAAAACATCGCTTCTTCTTTCTCAAAGTTTTTGAGAATAGAAAATTTACAGTATGAAAACAGAGCTTAAAACCAATTAAAACCATACCAGAAAAAGATAGAAAATTAATTGCAAATAAATACATCGGTTTCCCAAGAACAAAAACAAATTGAGAATTGGGACAAGATCAAACTCACTTGATCGATCTGCCGTGTTGCTTGTGGCCTTCCCATCACCGTGTTGCTTCTTGGTAACATCATGAAGAGAAACCCAGACCTTTTCAATGTGATCACATTAGTCAAGATGGAGATCTGACCGCAATAGAGAATTTGAGTGCATGAGATACGTACAAGAAGAGGAGAAAGAGCAAGCAAAATAATCCCACACTGATGGGACTGAATCGAAACCCTGAACGGCTGAACCCAAGAATAACATATCGACCAACTGCAAGCAACATTCATAGATTTATATGACATGAGCTTCAATTTAATTGAGAATATATTCTCATTAGTTATTCCAGTTGATCTTTCTTAGATCTTACCATTCGTAGATCCTTGAGATTCATTGTTTTTCTCTTTTTTCGTGAAGCTTTTGTACTTTCTGGTTGTGTTGAAGTGGTAGTAAGAGAATCTCCAACCCCATTTCATCACTCCATTTCCCACTCCATTTTGCAGTAAATTATGAAGTAGGGTTGGAGATGCTCTAAAGGAGGGGAAATGAATACATCAAATCCACATCGTCTCTGTGGATGAACATTTCCTCAGCGTTGAGAATGAAACAGGAGAAAAGAAGACAAGTTGAAACCCTAAAAAATAACAGACCACACATACAACTGACCAGAGCTCAACATGTGTCGAAAATCCCCCATATCAAAAATAAGCGATGTGGATGATTGTGGGGACAGATAAGTTAACTTTATTAGTATAGATTATTATTTATTAGCTACGGTAAATAACCTCTTAAGCTTGCAAAACCTACTAAGAAAAATAACCTTGAATTTTTTCCTTCTTGGACTCAGATTTATCATCTTGGAAAAGAATTATAACCTTGAATTTTTTAAGAAAGTCATGCACGTGAGGGAATGAGATTTTAGATAAATTGCTAAAACTATCACATTCATGATACACTATTTCAGCTTTATATTAATTATCTTTACCATTAAAATTTTGATAGTCAAAAGACGATAATACCCTTAATTAATCAAACATAAACCTAATCGCGCGCTCTCTCTCTCTCGATCTCACAGTGATGGCGAGTCGATGAATCTTAAACCAGATCTGCCGCCAAATTAGGGAGCCGAAACCCTAGGCTTCCATCTCCTTCCCCCGCGCGTACCAACGCAGCTCCATGTGGGACCCTCCTCGGCCGTGTTGCGGAGTATTCAACCTCTTCACCAGCTGATCCTCCAGCTCCAGCTAAGGATGAGGAGGCGAAGAAGACTTACGATTACGGTGGAAAAGGCGCAATCGGGAAGGTTTGCCAGGTCATCAGTGCTATTTTCGATGTGAGATTTGAAGATCAGGAAGGTCTGCCTCCGATCATGACGTCACTCGAGGTTCAAGATCATCCGACGAGGCTGGTACTTGAGGTGTCTCATCATTTGGGGCAGAATGTTGTGAGAACGATTGCTATGGATGGTCCTGAAGGGCTTGTTCGTGGAAGGCGCGTGCTCAACACTGGCGCTTAAGGAGAGCTTTTTGATCTTTGATCTATTGGTTTGGATCTGTATTTGACCATTGACTTATCGAAAGTCTCGTTTTTTATAATAGATTCGTTTATTATGATATGTGAATCTGAGTGTTTGATGTTTGTCTGTTGGCTCAGGTGCCTGTTGGAAGGGCTACTCTTGGACGTATCATGAACGTTCTTGGAGAACCTATTGACGAGAGAGGCAAAATTAGTAAGAAGTTTAAGCGACACCTTTTAATGAGTGTCTCAGTTTCTGTTAATCTGTAGTGATAATTTGGTTTTGCTGTTTTTTAGAGACCGAACACTACCTACCTATTCACAGAGATGCTCCTGCTTTGGTTGATTTAGCTACTGGTCAAGAGATCCTTGCTACTGGTATTAAGGTTGATTCTTTTCCCTAGCTCTGCGTTGTTTCCATTTAAACGTATGTTTTCGTTTAATGTTACAAACTAACGTTTGTTGCTTTCATTCCAGGTTGTTGATCTGCTTGCTCCTTACCAAGGTTGTTTGTGACCACATCAATAATGGTTTTGGATGAGATAACTTCTGTGGTGATGATGAAGAGATGCTAAGTGTTCGTCCTACTGACGTTGAAGAGCTTGTGTTCCTGAAATTTTCCAAAATATGGAGGTTTAAGTTCAGAATTAGCTCATGTACTATGGAGAGCAGACTATTATTTCTTGAGATAATTGTGTGCTTTGATCAAAATTTCAGATGGGGATAATTGTTAATACAGCTCAAAAGCATTTTTCTCTGTATCGACATTAACGATTTATAGTCTTGTAAATATATAAGAGCTTTTATTAAAGCTTCTGATCTTTCACGCTTCTCTTTCGTAACATGATTGTGGTTGTTTCTTTATTATGGTAGGATTTTTATCGATGGTAAGAAGTATGGAACTTTCCCGCTGTTTGATCCTATTTCTAGAAGTTCATGTTGTTCACTGCATAAGTATTGTGTTAAGATTTATTTCCTAGTTACCTAAACTATTCTTCAGCATTTGGTGTCATCTTCTTTGGTTCTATTATGAAATTGTCTTTGCGTCCTGCTACCATGTAATTTTTCCTCTTCAATCATAATCGTGAATATCTTTAAGCATTATTCTACGTTTCTTCTTGTTATGTTCATTATGTCAATGCCAAATATAGGCTTTTGTTAGGGCTGGGACTTATATCCGGGATCCGCTATCCGATCCGGGATCCGATCCGATCCGCTCCGAAAAAACGGATATCCGGGGGATCCGGATCCGGATCCGGATAGTGATTTCACGGATCCGGCCGGATCCGGATCCGAATCCGGATAGTGAAAATTTCAGTCCGGATATCCGGATCCGGATCCGGGCCCACTAAATATTTAAAAAATATATAAAATATAATTATATTTATATAGGTATATTATTTATTTTTATTAAATATAACTAATATTTAATTTTGTTAATAAATTCTATTATTTTAATTTAACTTTTTGAAAATAATAATTTTTAATAAAATAAATAAATACTGAATTTTGATTTTTTTTTTTTTTTTAAAATAAACCGGATCCGGATATCCGCGGGTATCCGAGTTTTAGTCCGGATATCCGGACCCCGGATATCCGGATGGCCCGAATCCGGATCCGGATAGTAATTTTACGGATCCGCCGAATCCGGATCCGGATCCGGATATCCTGAAATACCCCCAAGGATATATATAAATCTTTATAAATGTTATATGAATTCTTATAAATGATATAAAAACCCCTTATAAATGGTAAATACACATTTATAAATAACTTATTAACTCTTACAAAATTGATTTATAAACCCTTATAATTATTTTGTAAACTCTTATAAATAAAAGGGACTTATGAGTAATGTTTTAATATGAGTTTTAATCCATACAAATGATTTTATTAACCCTTATAAATGATTTATAATATCTTATAAATGGTTTATAAAATTCTAAAAATGATATATAAACCTTTATAATCAATTTTACTAGATCTTATAAATGATTTATAATCCTTTTTATTTTGCATACTCTTATAAATTCTTTTTTATAAAGCTTTATAAAAGGGTTATATACTCACACATAAGGCCGCCACATCACCAATTCGTTCAATCTCAGCGTGAAATATGTCCACTAACAAAGCGTTGCGTTTCTTTTTTTTGCACGCATGCAGACCGACCTTAGTATATAATATTGAGACCTTATAATTTGTATCTACACATATATAAACTAATTATAGCTAGGGATTATAAGGTTATTTATTAATTTTAATAAATTCGCTTTCGATTTATAAGAATTTATAAAGGTTTACAAATGACTTCAACAATGATTATTGACCACTTTGGTAAGGCTTAAAAACTATTTTATAAATACTTCTCTATTCTTATAATCACCATTAATTAACTTATAGACTCCAGTAGATGTTTTATAAAGTATTATAAATCAATTTATAAAACCTTATGAATCAATTTAAACACTCTTGTAAATTTTAAAATATAATCTCTTATTAATCAGTTTATAAGATTTCATAAATCAGTTCATGGACCCTTATAAACCTTTGTAAATGATATATAAGTTTTTATTTATAACATAATAACTCTTGTGAATGTTTTATAAACCATTATAAATTATTTATAAATGTATTATCCCACGGGAAATTGAGCGAGTTCAGATGGAGATGGGAAATCTAGAAATTAAGCAGGACATATTATCTTATTCGAGTATGGTATCTTGTTATTGGTGATTCCGATCTTGGCTCATATAACTGATTTATAAAAGTTTACAAAATTATTTATAAGAAGTATACACTTATTTATAAGAGCTTATAAATTTATTTATAAAGATTGATAAGTTATTTAATAATGTTTATAAAATGAATTTGAATTTATAGACATGTATAGAATTGGGTCTTGTGGTTTCTGGTGGAATAATCAAATGCACGCTTCTCTTCTCATACATCTGGCTTAGTTGTTGTGTTAACATGTCTCTCACACCAAGTCCTACGGAAAAACAACTCCCCTCCTACAAATTGGTTACCCAAACAATGCAAAATTTAATAAGAACTACTTTTTATACTCAAAACAGAATTGTAAGACAAACTAGTAAGGGTCATTTGAAAAATTCTAACCTAAATCAAGATCCCTATGTTTGCCATAATCAACAACAAACCGATGGTGAGAGTCCAGTGTTGCTCCACCTACATCACTAAAGAATACTACAAAAATAAAATAATGGTAAGTAAGTAACTTTTTAGCCAATACTAACGGACACACCTTAATAATAGTCATATGTAATGGATTTCACTTACTTATATATATTGCCTTTGGTGATGGGACGTATAAAAGACTCCATGAGTTTGTCAAGCACAGCACCGTATTTATTCATGGTGTTTGGTCTCATGATACAAAACGTTGTCTCACCCACCCACTTCTCAAAGTTCTCTATCTGCAGGGTCAAACAATATCACATGAACAAAACGTATAAAGATAACATAAAAGAGAAAGGATGCACAATACCACATTTTTCATCAAAAGTTTCCATATTGTTTAACGAAATATGCATCAACCAGTGTACCAGGAAGTAATGCTGACTCAAGCTCTTCGAACTCATCGCTACTGACATCAAGCTTTTGAATAGTTTCCAAAGGTCCTTCTTTCTGGTACACCTCTGTTCCATTCAATTCTGAGCTTATTATGTCAACCAAATAAGATGAATTCAGAGGTTAGTGGCTTACTCCTGGTATGGAAAGGATAGAGAGAAGTCAAACTGATAGATTTTAGGTATCACTAAGTATGTAAACTCTTGTTTGTATTGAATCAATGAACAACGGTTACAGATTTGAATTGTATCTCTCAATTACAAATCTAAATGCTCGATCTCAAGTTCTCATCACGAACTTGAGCTCAGACTCATCACGTCTAAGATCACCAACAACATCAAGCATAAAAAGAACTCAATACAACCACGTCTTTATTTAAATGCCTCTAACGGCTATAACCGCAAACCCTCCGTTTCCTCCCGAGTCTTTGCTCTTTTTCCCATTTCTATTCCGAAATCGAACCTTCTGTCGCATCCAGAGTCTCTAACTTCCCGCCAAACTTCTTCTTTCGAACATAAGCTCTTTGATACTTATCAATACTCCCTCCTTTGAAATTAAGCTTGTCCTCAAGCTTAAAGAATGGGAACTGCTTGACAAACTCCACATAAGAGAACCAGGAATTCTCATGAGAAGGACGATTCTTCCACTGCACCAAAAGTTCCAGATTGCCAGTAGCATCATAACGTTTAGCAATCACATCCTCCGGCACCACCAACTGATCCCACTCCTCCAACATCTCCAACGGCAATGGAGTAATGTCAGCACATTTACCCAAAGCCAGCTTCAATTGAGACACATGAAAGACCGGATGAATGTCTGCATTCTTCTTCATCAAATCCTGAGCACGTAACAAATTCAGACGAATTTGCTCCAACATAGTATCCCTTTCCTTCAAGGCTGCTTCTAACTCAAAATTCTTAGTAGAACCTTCCTCAAAGCGAACCAAAGATGGAGGTGCTCTGCCATAAACCACTTGAAACGGAGAAGCCTTCAAAGAAGTATGATAGGAGGTGTTGTACCACAATTCTGCCCAAGCCAGAAACTTATACCACGTACGAGGATGAGAAGATGCAAAACATCTCAAATAGGTCTCTAAACAACGGTTAAGCACTTCGGTTTGTCCATCAGTCTGAGGATGGAAAGCTGTGCTGAATTTCAACTTCGTACCAGCAAGCTTAAATGTATCTGTCCAAAACGCACTAAGAAAAATGCGATCACGATCAGACACAATACTTTTAGGATAACCATGTAAACGAACCACAGCTTCAATGAACTTCAACGCAACATCCATAGTAGAGAAAGGATGTTTCAACCCAATGAAGTGTGCAAACTTACTCAAACGATCCACCACCACCAAAATCACATTAAACCCTTGAGAAGTTGGAAGCCCCTCAATAAAGTCCAAAGAAATATCATCCCAAATCTGCTCTGGAACAGGCAAAGGCTGCAACAAACCCGCTGGAGATAATGTAGAATATTTGTGAGTTTGACAAATACCGCATTCAGACACATAACTCTGAACAGACTTAAGCATTCCCTCCCAATAAAATTGTTGCTGAATACGTTTCACCGTCTTGAGTACACCCGAATGACCTCCTAACTTGCTATCATGAAACTCTTGTAGGAGTAAAGGAATAAACCGAGATGTCTTAGGAATCATTAGGCGCCGTTTATACCAAACTCTGCCCTCCAACAGCTGATAATTGGAATTGCTTAACAAGCCCTCCTGCACACGTTTCTTCAAAAGCCCCAGGTCCTCATCTGCATCAATCTCGCGATACAAGTCTTGCAACTGCAACACCGAAGGTACTGTCAAAGCCAAAAGAATCATACTAGAAGAACCCACAGCCTTATCCATACAACGCGACAAGCCATCAGCAGCTTTGTTCTCACAACCAGGCTTGTAAAGTATCTCAAAATCATAACCCAACAGCTTAGTAAGCCATCTCTGGTATTCCATATTCACTTCCCTTTGCTCAAGTAAATACTTCAAACTCCTTTGATCAGTGTGAACTACAAACTTGCGTCCTAGCAAATAATGCTTCCACTTCTGCACAGCCATCACCACTGCCATTAACTCTCTCTCATAAGCCGGTTTTAACTGTTCCCTATCTGTCAGAGCATGACTGAAAAACGCAATAGGTTTCTTATCCTGCATTAAAACAGCTCCCAAACCAAAACCAGAAGCATCAGTCTCAACCACAAACGTCTTGTTAAAATCAGGAAGGGCTAAAACCGGAGCTGACACCATTGCATTTTTTAGATCACCAAA